GTGTGGCGCACGCCTTTAATCCCAGCACTTGGGAGGCAGAGGCAGGCGGATTTCTGAGTTCGAGAGTTCGAGGCTAGCCTGGTCTACAGAGTGAGTTCCAGGACAGCCAGGGCTACTCAGAGAAACCCTGTCTCGAAAAACCAAAAAAAAAAAAAAAACACACAGACAGACAGACAGACACACACACACACACACACACTTTAAATCTGAAGCTACAGTGTAAGAGAATTTTTTATAGTTTAAATGAAATCTATTTCTAGAGAAGATGACAGACCTTTGAAAACAGATACACAAAAGTGACAGAGACATCAAACATGGGCACATATTACACAATTATGTAGCTACCCACCAGGAACAAGTCACACAGAAATTGTGACTAGCACTCAGGAAGAACCTTTTAGCAGTATTTCCTGGGCACTGACAATGCCCCAAGCACTACTTGTAGTAGAACAGGTAAATGAATCAAGTCAGGATAGATTCCTCCTCCACAGCCTCCCAAGCCCACCCCTCAAAGCTAGGATGAAGTCCAGGGCCTCATGTATGCAAGAACCCTCCCAACTAAGTGACAGTCCCGGCCCTTCAAGAGCATATGCTTGAAGGAAAGAAACCTGACTAAGTAACGGCCCAGAGGAGAGAGAGCCACAGTTGTGATGCCAGTGTGACAGTGAATGGCTGGGGAAGGAAGGAGACACGCAGTCACCTCTGAAGGTCATGGGAGCCTCGGCAGGGCTTGCAGCAGAGGGGCGAGTGTGACTACAAAGACCCCGGGGCTGCATGGAGGTGGTGGAGATGGACAGAGGCTGGCCACAGCTGGCCACATGCAGGGGCCGAGTCAATGTCAGTGCTAATTCAGGAGGCAGGAATGACACTGAAACGTGTGTGACAAAAGAGGGACAAGATGGTGGAAGATGAAGTGGCTGCAGTGGGTGAGGCGGATGGGGCTGGGGCTGAAGAACATAGGCAGGGTCAATGGACAGGGCTTAAAGGAAGATAGGAAGGATGAACACAGGAAAAAAAAGAAATGGAAAAGGCTAGGTTTGAAGATGGGAGAGGGAGAGGGGGAGGGGAGGGGAGGGGGAGGGGAAGGGGGAGGGGGAGGGAGCACTCAGCAATCAATGGTCAGGCTGCAGAGAAAGACCTACCTCTGGGAAGCGAGTGTGAGAGGCGAAGGAGGATTAAGGAGACGGGGTATACTCTAGCCTAGGCTTAGGTGAACATGTAACAGACATGTCAATCTGGCTCCATCTGGATATTCATTATGTGATGACAAGCCTGTATCCAGTTGTTTGGATGCCCACTGGGGAGGCAACATGATATCTTTCAGTCAGAAACCTACCATCGTTCAATGTGCAGAGACGAGAAGGTCCGGGCTGCTGCTTCTCGGGTCAGTAATTTGAATCCGCACTGTGTGTCCCTGATTCCTTTGACACAGAGGAACCACACCAGGAAATGGAATCCGTACATAAGAAAAGTCCGGAAGTAAGAACGCTAAAGCAAAGGCAGAAGAGAAAGGATTTACCATTCCTGGAGACACTGAGGACAGCACTTAAAACATGCAGCTGGCTCAACGCACCTCCAGTGTGGATGGCATGGGGTCAAAGGCACTTTGAACAGGATGCTGCTTCAGAAGCAGAGCACTATGGGAGCAGTTACTGATTCCTAGGGCCTGAGTCTGAGAGCACAAGGTCAGGACCAGAGGGGATGAGCACTGCAGTTGTCTTTTTAAATCATCATCAAACCGGGGTGACCATAAGGACAGTGCTCACTGAGCAAGCTTGAGTCCTGGCTCCTAGGCTGATTAGCACGATGCCCCAAGTAAACTACAGCAATTGTCTCCTCAGCTATAGACGGCACCTACCCTTCAGAGTTATTAGGAGAGCAGAACAGAAGTATGGCACTGCTGTAAGCCATGTGCTTGGCCAGAGAGTAACGGGAACTCAGTAACAGTTTTACAGAGAAAGCTGAGGGCTTTACTCTCACCAGAGGGCCCCTTGTGATGAGGCAGGGAGATCGGAGCCCTCCTCCGCTGCTGGCCCCTGCAACCACGGGTCACGTTCTGATGCAGGCGAGGGTGGGAAACCCCATCTGAGAGACACTTTGGGAAGCTCACACTGCATACTCAGCACCTTCCACACAAACCCCGAGGGGAACTAAACTCCCAAAAGAAGGATCACACTCAAGAAAGAGGCCAGACAGAAATGCAAAGACAGGAAAGTGAAAGCCAACAGTGATAAACGGGACCCGCCAACTGCTGTGCACACTGTCAATGTGAGCTCCAAAGGAGCAGCCTCTACCCAGAGGCTTTGGAGACTTGTGTCTTTCTAACAAGGACAGTCATGAGCCTCACAATCTTCAGCTAAGTATTTTCCTTAGAGACATGAAACAAGAAATATTTAAACTCTGAACGAAATTCAAAATATACTCTGAATAGAACCTACCATAAAAACCTGGGACCAGGAATGTTTTAGGGTTTGTGCTTTTTTTTCTTATTTTGGAATTCAGAGGGAGGGAGGGAGGGAGGGAGGGAGGGAGGGAGGGAGGGAGAGGGAGAGAGAGAGAGACAGAGAGAGAGAGAGAGAGAGAGAGAGACTGAGACTGACTTACACAATTTTAGAAAATATTTTTTTGTTTAAAAAAAAGCATGGTTTAGAAAAGTTTGCCATGACTGAACAATATTCTGTGTCTTAAACACGACTCTAAGAGTGCTTACACCCTGAGGGGAGGTCTCTACCCGTCCTGTGCACACTTAAAGAAACCAACTCTGAAATGTGCTAATCGCTCATACACTCCAGTGAAGTTGAAGGGAAGCTCATTTTTGAGAGAAAACACAGGGACCCGTTTCTTGTCAGCTGTATGTGTTAGTAAAAGAGAGTAAATGTCCATAGCTCGGGAAAGCCTCACCTGAGCAATTGATTCTCTCTCCAGATGAGCTCGAGACCCACATGCGATGGCCATTTGCTCCTGAGGAAAAAGTGACAACGTTGTTCTCTTCAATATTTAAACATCACATATAAACACATCCATTTCAATGTAAACATCTCACCTTCACAGAAACTTTGAAAAAATAAGATTATATTTATAAAGTTTATTGAGGGGTTCAGGATATGCATAGTTGCAGACAGCTAGTCACACTTACTAAGGAGGACTCTGCTGGGCATGGCTGGACACACCTTTAGTCCCTGCACTTGGGAGGCAGAGGCAGGTGGGTCTCTGTGAGCTCAAGGCCAGCCTGCTCTACATAGACAGGCCCTATGTAGAGCAAGAAGAAAGGAAGTTCAACTTGAGGTAACTTCTGACAGTCTGCTCTGGAGCCCTGCACTCCTGAGTACCAGTTGCAGCATGTTCTTATACTCACAGGCCATGGCTGTAGTCCACTCAGCCCCTTTTCTAATTTCTCAACATCTGGAAACTTTGTGGCTCCATCAGCATCTGCCATGAGTATCTTCTCTCCTCGAGAACTGAATACACCCTGTGTTCAAAAATTCCAGGTGAAAGAAAACTGCTTAGAGTTATGTTGGAAATCAATGGCACTTCACTTCATCCTATCAAAGGTATCCAAGATGGCAGCAGGAGGCCAAAGTTCACTGCTAAGAGGATAAGATGTCCTGACATGTATCTACTGTCCATTTCATTGTTGCAGAAGTTTTCCACTCTTCTTCCTAAGCTGACACCCATCACACCATTCTATGTGCCCCGTGTTATGTAGTCATGCTGCTCACATGATTTCAGAGGTGACTTGAGCAACTCAAAAAGAACCTGTCCTCAGACAAACAGAGATAGCACTTATGCTCCAGTCTGAAACCTCATATTCTTGTGAAGTGCAGGGTAAGAAGTTAGTTTTCTTTATTATGGTGCCTTAAGTATTTTAAGTTGTTGCTGACCAGGGCAGAGGAGGTGGCACTAACGTCAGGTCCAGCTGTCAGTATGGCACCTGACACTTGGTGAGATCAAGTTTGGTTATTAGTGCAAATCATACTGTATGTGCGTGTTTCACGAGGACATGAACTGCGGATGAACTCTGATCTCTGCTGTGTGCCAGAGTGAGCAGCACAGCATCCCCGACAGCACAAGCACTGACCAAAAGCTCCTCTACACGTGCCCAGAACACTACCACCAATCCTCAGCCTGAGCCAGCCTCCTCAGCAGGTCTCCCTCAGACACACCTCCATTGACCTGTGACATCTCCCATGCATCTATCTTCCCCTTTTCAAATAACTAAACCTCATACGATACCACACTGGCTCACCACTGATGGCTTTTCTCAAGTCTTACGCTTGGTTAAGTCTAAAGGCACTGAGGGAACAGTGTGAGGGGTGAGGAAAACAAGAGGGGATAGCAGGGTGGGAATGTGTGGAGGGGTTGACTGTGATTAATTTACATCTCCATGTATGAAAATGTCTAATGAAACACATGATTTTCTACAACATGTGCTACTGATATTTAAAAAGATTTAATTTTACGTGTATGGGTGTTTTATCCTGTATGTATGGATATGCACCATGTACATATAGTGCCTACAGAGGCCAGAAGAGGTGCTGGATCCCCTGGAATTGGAGTTACAGATGGTTGTAAGCCACCATGTGGGTACTGGGAAACAAACCTGGGTCCTCTGCAAGAGCAGCCAATACTCTTATCTACTGGGCCACCTTTCCAGGTTAAATGTTTTCTTTAACTATAAATGAATGAATGGATGAATGAGTGAATGAATGAATGCTCCCTGCCCAAGGCTTGTGATCTGACCCTCACCGTCCTCTCGTGGCAGAGACTGCTAGTCACCTGCCCGAGAACCTCCCGTCACATCTAAAATCTTCCTCCTTTCAGAAAGAACACTGATCTTGTCAAGGATGAAAATGTTAAAAGAAAAGTGATCAGCAGGCATGGTGATACAAGCTTGTAATCTCAGCACTTGGGAGGCAGTGCTGAGGCAGAAGGATTGCTCTGAGTCAAGGCCAGCCTGAGTTTCAGAGGAAGTCACTATCTAAACAATGATAAAACAGGAAAGAAAAAGGAAAAGCCAAAATTAAGGGAGCCAATCCTCCTCCTCCCTAGGAATCAGGAACCAGATGGCCTTGTGACACTGTCCTGGCCCCTGAGATATGAGGGAACCCCAGGTGGGGTTCAGGGAAAGTTCATCATTTCCCCATCACCCCCATAGCTACGGAACGTAGAGGTGAGTCACTTTGTGTTCAGGAGGAAAAGGAAATGAAAGGTGAGAGTGAGGGCCTCTGCTGACAACTGGACAGTTGTCCCCACCACTAAGGCATTTAGGGAGTGTTATCTGGATTTCTTTTATGCACGTTTTTTTTTGTTTTTGTTTTTGTTATTTTTTTGGTTCATTTTTCAGTTTAATTTGTTTTCTATCTGACTGGCCTTGGCTGAAAACAACTACTGTGGCCTAGGCCTTCTGAGGTCCTCACCAGAGCGTCTCCCCAGTCTACACCACTTTCACTCCACTCATGCAGATGTCTGTCTCTCCTGTTCTGCAGTGCACCACATCAGCCGACCCAGGAGTCACCTAAGTTCATACCCTGGGGCTCCGTCACATGGGAAAGCTCAACACACAAGAGCATGCTGTCCCTACTGTGAGCTCAGTCACTCTAGCCACAGCAAAGACAACATGAAACTCAGCACAAACACAACTGCTTTCTGGGTCATGTGTCTATTATAGACAGAGTATGATGCTTAGACTTCATTAAATCAAACACAGAGCTATTAAAGGTGTCAGTAACTTGAAATACTGTTTGATATGTGGCATTATAGGCAGAAAAGGTTATTAAAATACCTTCATATCTTAAATAAAAATGTGAATTACCATCCGAACAGCACCACCTTTCCCGCGGTTCTGCACCAGTGTTATCACTCGTACTTTGTCACTTCCGTATTTCTGGCAGTATTTTAAAGCGACCTGTCCATGACATAAAAGTCAGAATACAGTTAGCTTAGAGAATGGGTGTCAAAGATATGGGGTATCCTGATGTGATCAGAACATGTTACATGCATGTACTACAACACCACATTGTGCCTCATAAACATGCGCAATCACTATCTGTCGGTTAAGATACACATAATCAAGTATAAACTGAAAGCTGAGCAATAATTCAGATCCCACAAGTCACACAGACTGGGCTGCCACTGTCAGCCCATCCTTCTGCAACCAGAGTCTTCATGGGAATTATGTAGCTCAGACTGGTCTTTGCCATTTCCATGGGGGACTGTCTTGACTGCTAACACTGGAAGGTAGGGCCCACTGTGGGTGGCATCATTCTCTAGGCCAGGCCCTGAATGCTGTAGGACTGAAGAAAGTTGGCAAGTAAGCAGGCATTATGGATGCATTTGGTTCTCTCTGCCCTTGATTGTGGATACAATGTGATCAGCTGACTCCTACCTCTGTGACTTCCCTGCAGTGAAAAACTGGAACCTGTGAGCCAAATAAACCCTTCTCCCTGCTTTTTTATGTCAGGGCATTTTATTAGGAACGGAAGTGAAAATGGGGCAGAAAGTAATGACCCCAGCTTTGGTCCCTCCATCAAGTGGAAACAAGCCACACGGACTAAACGACTCCAGGTTTTCTATCAACCAGCTGTTCTAAAAGCACACAACTGTTTACCTTTGATGTCTGGTCTTCACTGCCATCATCAACCACTATCACCTCATAGGTGAACATACAATCATGCTTCTGCAGGAAGCAAAAGTAACACGTCATAATCTGGCAAAATCACGATAGAAATGAATAACTTGTAAGTAATGCTTAATTTTCTTTTATCTTTGTGTGGGCATGCATACATGTATGGGGGAGGGGGAACAGCAGTGGTGCACATATGGAGGTCAGAGCACAACTTGTAGGGGACTGTTTCTGAGGAAAGGTTGGCCTCTGGCCTCTGTATATGCACCCGCTTCTACAGGGTGGGTCACAGGGATCAACTTAAGTGGTCAGGTTTGGGAACAGGGCCCTTACCCAGTGAGCTATCTTGCCAGCCTGTAAAACTGTAACTTAAAAAATACTTTTCTTTCAAATTTACTACTACCACTACTGTGTGTGTGTACGTGCCCACACATCATTATTACCATTATTACTATTACTAGTGTGTGTGTGTGTGTGTAAGTGTACGTGTGGGCCCATGTGTGTGCACATGCATGGAACATGCAGGATGGTCAGAGTACAACCTGCGGGAGCTGGCTCTCTCCTTGCACTAGGCTTGCCCAAAAAGCTCCTTTACCAGCTGAGACAACTTGCTAGCTCCCCAAAACTTGTAACTTAAGCAACAAATGTTCTAGAGTTGCTAGGGACAAATGCAAACAGCAGTACAGAACCACATGAAACCAAAGGCTCAGAAGGAGCAGGACACATGGTGGGTAGAACAGAATTGAAGCTGGGCCGTACAACACTGACTGAGAGCTCCGTGTTCAGTGCCCTCATCTGCTCCGCACCACATGTGTGGAAGCGGCAGCATGCGTGCATCTGTGATGCTAAGAAAGGCTAGGAAAGAGAATCATGTGTGAGAAAGAAGTCTGTAGGTCTGGGGTCAGAGGAAGGTTCTACATGGCCGCACCACTCCGCAGCCTTGTAGGGGGAGCTCAGATCACGTCCCATTTACTTCACATTTAAGTTCTGAGCCTGTTAATAGTCCCTCTCTGCCTCAAAACCCAAGGCAAAGTCAATCAAAACAAGGAATTTTCTAGACAGAGAGACAGAAAGAGATCCAGCTATAAAGCCCACTTCATCTTTAACTGTTCTTAGACATTGCCAAAGAGACCTGTGAACTACTGTGTTTCTGAGTATAAAAAGTGCAAACATTTAAAAATATACATCTTTTAGGGCTGGATACATATCATTTTTGTAGAATTTTGTATAATTTAAAATTTTTTAAGACTATAATTTTGTATTATTTAATCAATGTGAATTCATCTGAGAAACAAAGTTTAATAGACTATGTGATAAAGCCTCCAGTGGATCTTTTTCTCTCTCTCTATGGCTATATACATACACATATACCTATTTTTAAAGACATCGCAGAAGGAAGTCTGCATGTCTGCATACATTCTCTGGCATGTAACCTATATAATATGTCACCAAGCAAGAGAGAATTAAAAGTTGGGGGAGGGGACATGAGAGAAATGCCAGCTTCCTGGTTTGTCTGCTGCTAGAGGTAGCATGCTGCACACGCTGGGCCTGCTCGTTGACAGCCAGCAGCGGGCTGAGCCATCCCAGGGCTGAGCCATGACTCCCCACAGTGTGCCTAGCTTAGGGGTCTGTAACTGGTGACCTGCTGTAGTTCTGACTGGAGACATGACACGGAAAGAGAAGTATGATACCTGTCTCTTTTCTAGGTAGTTCAGTGCTTCATCCATCATCACAGGCACTAGATGGAAAAATATTTTATAGATTACTTTTGAAAACGAGTTAGCTAGCCCCAGCACACTCCACTTACACAGGTTAAAGGTGCCTATCATCTACCAAGCCCCTGTGGGTGTCACCCAGGCCATTATTCTCTCCTGGAATGTCTCTGGCCCTCATCAGGTTAGTCTCTAAGAACTTCAATCCTGCTGTCTCCATGTTCCCTCTGCCCAGTCACAGCTCCAACTCTGCAGTCCTCAGAGAGGGCAGACACTGCACGATTCCTCCTCTTCCCAGATGGCCCATTAGCAAACAAACTCAAATAGAACTTACACCGTTTCTCTTCATTGTAGGAAGGCACAACAACAGACAGCTGTTTCGTAGGTGAGTCCCAGATGCTGGGTAGAGCTTCCTTCTGGCCTTTGGCATTGAGGAAGAATTTTTCTTCCTCATGTCGGTGACATGGTGGCATTTTTGTAGCAGTTATAAACGCCACAACAGAAACCTAAAGGCAGACACGAGAAACAGCTTACACTGTTCTAGCATTTGTTGTTTTAAAACATTATTTGCAAAATTTGGGGTGGGGGATATGCAGTCTCAGGTTTAATTCTTTAACAGTTCTGGGGGTGATTCTGCTGTTACATGACAGCCAGCCCCCTAAATAGCCCCTTATGAACTGACGACTACTTGTCCCCATTGGCAACATACTAAATGCTTCAGGAGGCCTTGTTTCTACCTCTTATTCGTTGAGCCTCTGCTATACCAGATCTAAGAGTCGGCCTACTCCTACAAACAAACAAGGTACCACTTCCTGCCTGGAGCAGGTATGTGAAAGGACAAATCTCCATGGCAGCTGTAACATGGAAGGACCAAACAGCCTGTGAAGAAAAGATTCCTTGGAGCCCACAGCAGGGACCATAATGCTTAAGAATGTATTCTGATACTTAGCCTTAATTTGAGTGAGAACACAGCATCTTCTGGAGTAACACATAAGACTTGTAGGCTCCTGGGGCTGGAGAGATGCTTCAGTAGTTAATAGCACTGGCTCTTCTTGCAAGGAACTCGGGTTTGGTTCCTAGCACCCACATGGCTGCTCACAACCATCCATAACCCCAGTTCCAAGGCATCTGGAACCCTTCTCTGGCCTCTGGGGACTTGAGGCATGCACACACTGCACATACCTATATACATTCACTCAAAGCACTAATGCACAGAAAACAAAAATACTAAGAAACAAATTCATGGCTGCCTTTCCCACGCACTTGGGAAGCTCGCTTTGGAAATGAGCCATAATTTATATCACTGTTTTCATTGGTGAACTTTAAAAACAAGCTACACATGTGTGTAATTCTACTCATAGTGCTTTGATGACTCCCTAGTACCCCACTATGTGTTTACAGGGGAGCAGCCACAATGGAAATTAAGACTATGAGGGCTCGGTGGTTGAGAGCACTGGCTGCTCTTGCAGGGAACCCAGTTCAGTCCCCTGTACCCAACGTAGTGGCTCTCAACTGACTGCTTGAAAGTGCAGCTCAAGGGAACCCAGTGTCTCCAGCATCTGAACTCATGTGCATGTATACACGCACATGCACACGTAAAAATAATTAAAATGAAGAAACAGTCTGGCACTGTGCTCTACTGTCCAGATTGTGACTACTGAATCCAGTTTTCCAGGGAACAATCAATGCTCCTAAGAAAACGATTAATCCAGATCTGGGGTAGGAAGGTGTATGTCAACACAGCATATTATACAGAAAGCAAAATCCATCTGTACCCACGAGGGCTGCATGAAAGGGCACAGGTTGGGGGGGGGGGTCACTTGAGGACAAGAAGGTGAGTCACTTGAAGGTGTTTCCAGGCCTGTGAGAAAGAAGCTGCAGCATCAGAAGAGTAATCACTGCAATGAAATGTAGAAAAATTTAAGTCTGTAATAATACAAAAATAAAAGCTGGGTACCCTTTTAAGACATCAGGGAAACATCTTGTCATCTTGAACACTTGTGCTTCTATATGTAAAGGTATTTTATGTGACTGGGTACCTGAGGACTTCTCTTTAAAAAAAAAAACCAAAACACCCTAAAGCCCATCAAGAAAACTCACATGCACCTAATTAAATCTCCATATCCTACAAGAAACCTGGAAGGCAAAGTTAAAGATGCTTGAAAGGCCTTCTGTGAAATCCATACTGGCAACTCAAAATATTTAAATTTACACGGTATTTGGAACCACAAAAATAACAGGTCTTAAAGACAGTTGGCATTACCTTATTGTAGTAAAGTTTTAAAAGGAGGTCCTTATAGAAATAAATGCAGATGAATTAGAGATGAAAAGTTATTTGGAATTGTTTTTAAATTATTTTAAAAAGTGGGACATGGCAGAGAGAAAGAATGCCGGCAGGCAGATGGAAAGTAGATTTCAAGATGCAACGCACTGCACACCACGTACAACATGCATTCAGTAAAATAAAGGGTACCTCTACCAATTCAAGTCAGTGGACTCTAGTACACAGTCCACACACCCTCATCGTGCATGCAGTCAGCTAAGCCTGTGTAACGGATTCAAAGTAAGGTCGCCACAACCGGGACGTTGCCAACAAAGTTCAGATTTGTTCCAAGCCTTTAAAGAAGGCATTTTAGTAAGAGAGAGCGCCTGGCTCATCCAGACACAGCAACAGTCATCTGGCTACACCACTCCAAGACTGTGCATGTATTTAATATGGCAAGGTGGCAGAGGCCTTGCTGGCCACCTGTCTAGCTAGCCATCTAGACCCAATACAAGAAAGCTTTTCAAAATCTGCTTTCTGAATGAGTTACAGGCTCCTTTACAAACTATGTGGCAGAGCTCAGTTGGCAAATCTGTCCTCTTCTACATATCAGCGGGGGTCTGCCACGTTTCTATAGGAATGGCAAAGAAAACGCCAAGGTGCCTAATTCTGGAGCAAAAACGACCCCTGGCCAAAATGAACAGAATGCGGTCTGGGCCTGTCTTTTTGCTCACCCTTCGTCCCTAGTCTTACGGTCGGATCCACTCCTCTCTTTCCAGCTGCAGTACATACGGGAGGCCCAGGAAGAAGGCGGGGGAGTGGGGTGAGGGGTGACAGGCGGGAGTTCAGGGACAGGAGCCACGAGAAGCTAGGCGGAGGCTCTGAGGACTCAGAGGTTACAAACGGGAAAACAAAGGTTCAAGGATTTCAGGGAATCTGAGGCCAAGGGGGCCAAGCGCAAGAGGGGACACCCGGAGCACGGGACTCCACCACGGTCTCACCAGAATGAGCGCGGCAGCCACCAGCGCCACGCCGAGCCCCACCAGCTGCAGTAGCAGCGTAGCCATCCCGCAGCTCCACACTTGCGGAAGCGCCTTGCGGCACAGCGCCCCGCCCCGTCCCGTCCCGCCCCGCAGGAGAGGCCGGGCTGGCCCGCGCCCGCCGCCCGCAGCGCCCCCGCCTGGCCGCGCCACGCCACGGCAGGAAGCCGACGCCGGCCGCAGCGCCCCCGCGCACCTCCGCTGAGGATTGCAGGCCGGTCACCGAGTGCGGCGAGTAAAGCGCTGGACTCGTGCGAACTGACGGCGCTACCGGCCTCACCCACACGCCGTGTAGCGCAGCCATCTAAGGATGCCTGGAGCCGCGGGGTGTTTGAAGAGTCAACCCTTTTCATTTCGTGCGCCTGCGTGTGTGTGTTTGTGCACGAGCGCGCAGGCCCGTGGGGACCAGGGCGTGAGACCCCGGGGGGGTTGGCGTCGCAAGCGGTTGTGAACAGTACCGACCCCGGCGCGCCCCCACAGGCCTGGTTCTAATTAGGTGGTAGCGGGACGCTCAGGGTGGCCAGAGCTGAAGTTCATGCCCCGTGCGCAGGCATCGTGACAGCAGTCTCCCGCAGTACTCATCTAACCCAGGATTCCTCGGGCTTGAGCCTAGGGCTGGAGGCACGCCTAGCGAGTGGAAGGCGCAAGCGCGGAGGGCTGCGCAGGCGCAGCGCGGGCAGGAAAAATGGCGGCCGGGTTCAAGTGAGTGGCAGCGCGCGAAAAAAGGCCCGGGTGTGGGTATGGCGCGTGGCGGCGGGCGGGGGACCCCGAGGACTCGTGGGGCCGCGAGAGGGCTCTGCTCACTCGAGACCCTGAGATACAGTGCACCCAGGACGATCCAGACCTCTTAACCGAGCGCCACGCAGCTCTCCGCGCAGTTCCTCCTTCGTAAGGGACTGTGAAACCTTTGGGGGCGCTCTGATTAAACCCAGTGCCACCCGCGCGTGCAAACTGCAGACTGGTGTCTGCGGTGCGCACCTAGACTTGCTGAACTTTTGACTGCGTGTAGTTATGAGGCTAAACGTAGCTCCTGTATCTGTAAAAATACACTCTTCCGTGGTAAAGTTGCAGGTACTGGCAAGTGTGGCTTACTGCGTGAAGTCACGCTAAGTTCCCTGCTTTAGCATCGGTGATGTGACTGACACCCAGGTTAACCCTCTTCTAAGTGTGCCAAGGGCCTTGGACTATGGCACAGTTAAGGTCACCGCTGAAAACTGGTTGCTACTATATGGCTTTTATAAATACGGTTAACACAGTTTCAAAAACTTAAGATTGTCGAGATTGACGCGTCAAACACAACACTCTGGGTTTATGCTTTAGGATGCACTGACTTAGACACATTTTAAACATGTTTCAGAACTGTGGAACCGCTGGAGTATTACAGAAGATTTCTGGTGAGTAAAGGTAATTTTGCACGTTAGAGTTTTTGGTAAAAACACCATGCTTCAATTGATTTAAATGAGTGAGGCTTAATGTATTTTCTGCTGCATAAGTGAAATACATATATAATCTGTTTCCTTATAAACATTTAGAAAGAAAACTGCCGTCCTGATGGAAGAGAACTTGGTGAATTCAGAACCACAACTGTCAACATAGGTGAAGATAAACTTCATTGCAGTTGGGTGGGACAGCCCCCATCTTTATCTTTGGTGCCACCTAGTTTTTCAGTCAGCTCTAAGTCTAAGGCATTTGGTGATGTTGAGAGATTTTTATCATTACACCAACCTTGTAGTTGATCTAAACATTAGTTCACATTGGGAGACTGAAGAAAAAGATTAAAAATGTTAAGTAGTAATACCATTTTCAAGTCACTGACCTGAACCTGTCAAAAACTCCAGAGGCAGCTGAAAAGATTTAAACTACTTTGTAGGAAACTTTGCAGTTATTTTCATTTTTTTTCTTTTTAAAATTTTTAAATAAATACTGTGCTTACCTTTCCAGGTTCAATCAGTACGGCGGATGGCTCTGCTCTGGTGAAGCTGGGAAACACCACCGTCATTTGTGGGGTTAAAGCAGTAGGTTCCCTGTATGTCTGTAATGTCTGAATTCCAAATTAGCTTCATACTTATGAGGTTGTACTTAATCAGGGCCTGATATTTAGAATGATATTCCCCCAAGTTTCATTTCTTTCTTTCTTTCTTCTTTTTTTTTTTTTTTAAGTTTTTCGAGACAGGGTTTCTCTGTATAGCCTTGACTGTCCTGTAACTTACTCTGTAGACCAGGCTGGCCTCGAACTCAGAAATCCACCTGCCTCCCAAGTGCTGGGATTAAAGGCATTCGCCACCACTGCCCGGCGTGTGAGCATCATTAATGCTTTATAAAGCAAATAATTGAAAGTGAATCCTCAGTACTTCATACTTTAAGATTTTGGCAATATCATTTTTAAAATTAAGATTGTTCATACTTTAAGATTTTGGCAATATCATTTTTAAAATTAAGATTGTTACTATGATACCTTTTAGCCGTTGATAGCTTTGTCCGTCATAGGGATAGTAACTGCTGACCTTTTTAGGTGTTCTCCAGTTACCAATCTCTGCCTCTGAGTAGCGGCAGGCAGAGTCTAATGACACAATCTGAGCTTTCGCATGTACCCTGAGCCTCTCTCCTCGTTTATGTCTGTGGTCAAGCTGAAGTGATAGCTATCAGGACACATACTCCTTGCCAGGTTTATACCTAGGACTTAATGGCTCCGTCTTCCTTGGGCCCCTGGAGTAGGCAGGTACTGTTTCTGTCCCTGTGACAGCAGAGGAACGTGAAAGATAAGTAACTTTCCCTAGGTTTCTCAGTCTCGTGTGTGGATCTACAGCTGCACTGGGTTGTTATTGTTATATACCTCGCTTCTGGCCACTACTGGCTCCCCAGCCTGGTCTTGTGACACTTGGAGAGTAAATTCAGATTTTGGCTGCTGAACAAGTCACAGGGTGGGCATAATCCCACTGATCCTCATTGACAAGCAGCAGTTTGATTACACTGTCCTTTAACCTCCCTGGGAGCCATTGGGAAGGCAGTGCCAGCATTATTAGGGCCCCTGCCATAAGTCCCCAAGTACTGTAGATGCTAAACATAGGCCAGTTGGCTGAAAGGGTCTTTGGTACAGCCTCTGTGAATGGCTAGGATGTCATCATGTTGAGTGGCTTCTCTCACTGGAATGCATTGTTTGCTTTTGTAGGAATTTGCAGCACCACCAGTAGATGCCCCCGACAGAGGGTATGTCGGTGAGTTAAATAGTCTTATAATTTTAACGAATAATCGAGTAAGTTGAAAGCTAACCCTTGTAGTGAAGTCCTAGTAATTGAGGTAGGTAGCAATTCCCAATGTTCAGAAATAGAATAGCCCCCACCCAACTCCACACACAAAGCTTTCTGCTTATTAGAAGAGAACAGAGAGGGAACATCACATGAATTTTACTTTGCCAACCCTGTGTGGACAGTTTTTATTTACATACTCAGTTGCCCTTATTCAAAAAGCCGTTATTGCAGATTACATCCTGTCTACACTCTATTTAAAGTACTGGGCAGTATTTTTGTCTTGGATTATCTTTTCCATGACATGGGAAGCAACATTTAAAACTTTAATAGTTGGTGTGAGCAGAGGAGTCTGTTTTAACACTGCCATGTTTCCCCCTGAAGAGTCTACCGTGGCCAGTCCCCTGTGCTATGGAGCAGCCAGCCCCTTTACTAGTCACCCCAGCTGTCAGGGGTACAATTTAGTTCACAGCTGCAGTGTTTCTTTCAGTCCCCAATGTGGATCTACCACCGCTGTGTTCATCAAGGTTTCGGACTGGACCTCCTGGGGAAGAGGCTCAAGTAACCAGCCAGTTCATTGCCGATGTCCTCGAGAAGTAAGACTGTTAGGATAAAGTTTGACTACCATTTATTATCACTTGTTTTGCCTTTCCATTTATTGTGTTCTTTATCATTAAATCAAGCTCACAGATAATTAAGAAAGAAGACTTATGCATTTCTCCAGGCAAGGTAAGAACAGAGAGCTTTTATAAACTCTGAAGTGGCCGTGTGGCCTGTCATGGTAACGGGATTAATCAGCTTTAAACCCTGAGATTTTAGAGTTTAGAAGGAATTCTGTAAAAGTTCGTTTTACCCTGTATTTGTCTAAATAAACAATTGCTTCATCAATTCTTTCCAACTAGGTTTTAATTTAATGAGTTAGTCATACTGTATAACCAAGCTGCTCTTTACCTCCTCCTTCCCTGTCCTACCAAATGCTGGGATTACAGGTGTATGCCATCATATCCAGTTAACAAATAACGTTACCTGTCTGGGGAGCTAACGTTTAAGCTGAGGTCACACACATACACACATGCACACACACGCACACACACGCACACACACACACACACACACACACACACACACACACACACACACACGCACACACACACGCGCGCGCGCGCGCGCGCGCATACACTTTATAATAAAAAATGCTTTAGTCCCTTATAACAGATCAGGTTTTGCTCAAGCGGATATTCATGGATAATACATAGTACTTTCCCACATTGGTTTCCCTTGTGAATTTATAGTGCTATTACTGTAAAATCTTCATTACACAGTAGAGAGCACATATTACAGCTGGGCCTTTCTTTGCTAACGTAGCAGCAAGAATAAAACTTCCTCATTGCACCCATAGCTCTATTTAGGGGAGTAGGCAAGGTTGTTTCTTTTTGGTTTGCTAGTCAAAGCCCAGCTTTCCTAACCTGACCACTTTGACTTTATACTTTATAAAGATTTTAGGGGGAAAAAAAATCTTAGGCTTTCATCAAGTCTATTTTGTGTTGTCTAACCAATGGTTCTGTAATTCTTAGGACTGAGGAAAAAACACTATGCTATTATCAGGTCTAATTTCTTCTATTTTAGCTTGCTTGGGTTCTATACTGTGACCTTATTTGTCTAGACTACGATGGAAACATTTTGGATGCCTGCACATTTGCTTTGCTAGCAGCTTTAAAGAATGGTAAGCAATCCTAATAAAGGTAATTTTCCTGCTAATACAGTCAGAGTCCAGCTGGTCAAACCTTTTAAGGGTTTTTCTGGAGATTTAGGTATCATTTACATGACTTCATTTGTGAGAAAGTGTACGCCTTAGCCCAGGGTGGCCTTGAACTCTTGATCCTTCTGCCTTAGCCTCCCAAATGCTGGTACTATTGCTAAGAATGAACTACCTTGCCAAGGTTATGCTCCTAAGTTACTCAACTCTACAAGGTTTTCTAAAAATGTACTTCTGTGTTTTATATTCTTTTCAATCTGTAGCCTTTTAGAATTGCTTTGGTCTCTCCACCAGTAGTCATTGGGGCAGCAGTCCTTCCCAGAATCCACTGACTCGGATAGAGGGTTCTCACTTGTAATTCAGTCGGCTTGTGCCACCTCAGATAATGATGCTTCCTAGTAAGGGCCTAGGTAGCTTGATGTCTTAGAGTCTCACTTGTGTATATTCCAGGTCACTCTACATTACTGAATTGATAAGACTAAGCCAGGCATGGCTGCATGCTTGTAGTTACTGCACGGGAGGAGAGGAGGATGGCAGTGTTGAGGCCAGTTAAGACTACAAAGCAGGGTACTCTCAATACAACATCCAGCTAATTCAGAGTGGAAGATGTAGTTAATAGTGAATTAGTGTAGTCCTAATTAAAATTAATCCAGCCTGCTTGCTTTCTTTGTAACAAAGTAGTGCCAAAGAGCAGCACTTAATACGTTAGGAGTGTGGATGTCCAAATGAGTGTCATAAAACAGGAGATACTTCAAGTCTGCACACCTTTAATCCCAGCACTCAGGAGGCAGAGGCAGGAGGATCTCTTGAGTTTGAGGCACCTTGGTTTACAGAGTTCCAAAGTTCCAGGACAGCCCAGGAGGACACAGAGAAACCCTGTCTCAGGGAAACAAAACAAAACAAAAAAGTCATTTTGGCTGGATCATAAGATGTTCTGAAAAGCAGTTTTCCTCTTCCATATTTACCTCAATTGCTACGACACACACAAAACTCTCCTAATACTAGGTGCGTAGGACACAACTCTTATCCCAGAGAGTTTCTAAGCCAGATGGACTACATGTGAGATCCTGTCAAAGCAGTCAATAACTGTTATGGATAAGCTAAACTGAGGTAAAGTTAAGAAAGCATAGAAGCCAAGCTGTATACCAGACCCACTTACATGTTTACTTGTCTTTCTCTAGTACAGTTGCCTGAAGTTACTATAAACGAAGAGACTGCTTTAGCAGAAGTCAATTTAAAGAAGAAAAGTTATTTGAATGTTAGAACAAACCCAGTTGCTACTTCCTTTGCGGTGTTTGATGAGTAAGTTAACCAAATTTAACATTCTAGGATCTAAGTTAAGATTAGGCCTTGTTATTTAGCTGTCTTTACAAGGACCGTCCCCCACCATCCCTAATTTGTGGGGATTTGAGTTCCTCTGCTCAGACCTTCCACTTGCACAAGCATCCTGATGTATATAGGACCAGTTGTGTTTGCCTTACTTGCCCCTAGGTTTCCTTGTGCCTTTTTCCTGGTTGGGGTGGGGGGATGGGAGGGGATGTATAGGGCCTGTTCATACTAGGCACGTGCTCCAGTGAGCATGACAGCTGGGTCATCTTCTGAAACTGTCTTCAGTATTTGCTGAGGAACTTAAGATGTTTTGTTCCCAAGCTGAAGAGCAAAGTATTCACAGGTACTGGACTGCGGGGTGCTGCTGCTCTGGCCACCTCCAGTCCTGTATTAGCACTTCCAGGCTAAAGTAAGCCTGTCTTTTAGTACTGTCTGAAATTAGTCTGTTCTTAGAATTGATGCCTACTCCCCATCCCTACACTTTTTTTAATGTAGCACTTTACTGATAGTTGATCCTACCGGAGAGGAGGAACACCTGTCAACAGGAACCTTAACGATAGTAATGGATGAGGAAGGCAAGCTGTGCTGTCTTCACAAGCCAGGTATGTGCTTTCCACTGCAGCTTTAAAACATTGTGGTGGGGAGTAGACGGGGTGTCAAGTGCAATGTGGGGTGTTTGACTGTTTAGCTAAGGAAAGTTTATGGGCTTCTTTGCTATTTTAAGTATTGTGTATCATTCTTAAAATTAGGACATATCTGTCCTCTGTAGGTCTTCCTAATAAAACTAACCTGCAGCTCTTGAGACCAGAGCAAATTAGATGATCTGTTTGATTTAAAAACAAACAAAAACCATTTGCCATGATTTTCAATTTTCACAAAATGATGAACACAGCAAACATTGGCTGATTGTTTTCAGGTGGGAGTGGGCTGACAGGAGCTAAACTCCAGGACTGCATGAGTCGAGCAGTAACGAGGCACAGAGAAGTGAGCCAGCTTCTGGAGGAAGTCATTCAGAGCATGAAACACAAATGAACAGACACCACGATTGCAAAACAGCTGTAAAAACTGTATTTGTTACACTGTGCACAGGCTTTTTATACTAAATAAATACCTAATTACATTCTTTGAAAGATATTTCTAGTACTTCTTGCGTTATTTCTGTAATTGATATGTACAGGAAAACATTTAATTATGTTTCCATGTAAGAATCACAGGGTTGTGCTTCTGTATAAAGTGTGCACACGTATCAGTGTAAAATACTGACATCTCAGGGGGAAATGAAGTAGAAATACAATTCTTTTCATTCAATGGTCTTGTGTTTGTTAAAAAAGAAAAAAAAGAAAGAAAAAAATTGCTCAGAATTTTGGAGTAGTTGGCATGCCTCTCTTCATTTTACTCTTTGACTGGCTGCCTGCGTGCCGGTGACGATGTAGCTGGGCTGTTTGTGCGGCGGCTGCTGCCATAGCCATTTGGTGCTGCAAGAATCGCAACTGCTGCAAAAGGGAGGGAAAGAGATGACGTTATGCTAAACGCACAGGTGTGGCAAGGCACTTCCCCAGGAGTGATGAGAACAGCCAGAGAAGGAGAAAGCGAAGTAACTAAGGGACTGCCCCAGACTGGGACAGGGCAGGAGCCTGCTAAGGGCTTGAAAGCATTACAGTATCTGTTACTTGGCCCTGGCAGTCCATACTGCAGTAATGCAGCAACTTCAGTTACCATTTTGTTGTACAATAATCCATAGCAAAATAAAACCAACACTCAAAGGTTGATCACAGTATGCTGACATACTTTCCTAAAACAGTAGGAACATTTTTCTAAACATGTATGACACAGGAATACTTCCACAGTACAGAATTATAAAGTTAATAATTGGCACTCAAAATACAATGCACATTAAAAGGATGCGTAGAATGTGCCACCCAAGACCTTAAAAAGGGATTTAAAATATAATTGTTATAAAATACACTCAGTGCTCCAACTGACTGGCATTTAACATGTCAGACATCTAAGTAAAATTGACTTAAGTTACTGACCAATTGCTTCAGTCTTAACAAACAGGAAAGTACCCCTACAGAAAGGCAGTGTACAGTACTTTTGGAGCTCAGTGTCTTAGTTAACCAGAGTGAAGCTGCTGGATTACTTGGAGCTGCTGCTGCTGCTGCTGAAAGGCAGAGGAGAGCTGGAGTCTCTGCTGAGGAAGGCTTTGCTCAGGTCTGTTGTCGGCAGAGCCAAGCTGAGACAACACTACAGAGGGAGAAGGGAAAGCAGGCCAGTCAAAAAGCTTGAAGGCAACCAAAGCTAGAAAAGGACAACACAGAAAACCAGAAGCAGTATAATTAACCTTAAGTATCAAATCTGAAAAGATTTCAGAATAAATCTAGTCTACTAATTAATTAAAGGTACCATTGATTCCAGGACATTCTAGCCATACAGAGGGAAGGGAGTTCACAAGCTAAGGTACTGTATTCCCTCATCTATGTCTATTTTTGTTGTTGACAGTCTTATCCCAGGCTGGCCTCAAACTCATTATGTAGAAGAGGTTGACCATGAATTCCTGATTCTCTCTCCTCAGTTGTATCCAGCACTCTGCAGTGCTGAAGTACTCTAGCACCTTAGCTACACCCTGCTCCCTCCACAGCATCCTCTTTCATTACCATGGAACTAGATACTGGACTTGGTCCAGAAGCCACCCTTATATGGCATAAAGTGGTAAGGTTTTTTTTAAAAAATACAACTTCCAGTGAGACTGCAGGGCTAAACTGGAATGGGCAGCTGACAGGGCCATCCCAACCAGTCCACATCCTCAATGCAGGCAACAGGCTGAAGACCTGGCCGATGTGACTCAGTTTTTCTGAAACCACACACAATTTCATGATCTGTCTATAATTCTTTTCACAAATCATACTATAGCAATTTTAGAAGAATTCTAACTGAATTCCTCTAAAATTCTAAGATGTGTACATTACTTACACATCTGCATTTGGAAGTTCACTAGTTCTAAATTACAACTCTAGTAAGAATTATTTTCAAAACACAGATGTTGATAACTCTTACTAAAGGACATGTAAATTTGGAAGCCAAGTTATAGACATCTAAGGCACAGTCAGAACACAGGGACAATTCACTGACTGATTCTCACATCTCATTATAGCTTTGTTAACTTTTTTTTATAGAATTCTATCATGTGGCTTATTCAAATATGAATTCAATTGAATACAATATTGTTTTTGATTTATTAAGTGGAAGCATTCAAGTTAGTTTCATTTTTATAAACAAGCAGCTCACAGAGGTTTTGCTAATTATGAAGATTTAAATCATGTAACTACAAAGTGAGAAAAATTATGCAATCTAGGAAAATGTAGTCTCAGGTAATTAAGAGAACAGAATTAACAACTTATAGTACAAGCCCTGAAAACTGCTTTGACAGCTTTCTAGAAGTTCAGAAAAATATGTAAAAGTTTGCCAGCTAACTAACCATTGTAAAGAAAACAGGCATGTGAGTCTGAGCTCTTAAAATCAACTGCCAAATTATTAAAGAAAAAACTCTTGGCCAACTGTTAAATATTTCACAGATTAAATACTTCAGTTTTTTTTTTCTTCTGATAACTGCTTGCAAGGTGGGAAAGGTAAATAATTTACACAATGAGATCTCAATAGGAAGTCAGGATGTTACCTACCGGCTGCCTGTGACTGGGTAAAGCCTCCTACTCCAGTAAGATTAATGACAGCAGCTTGCTGAGCGGTTAAGGCCTGTTCTTGAGCAGCTAACCCTTGTTCAGAACTCTGAGGAGAAAGAAAAAAAAGCAAATGACCTGTGCAAAATGGACGAAACTTTTTCTGAGCCAGTCATGTACGAGGAAGAATAAAGAAGATCCTGCTTGGATCTAATGCAGGAGTATGCAGCTACCCTGGGCTACATAGTAAGGATCTGTTGCAAAGCAAACAAAACACACACACACTCTCTCTAAAGATAGGTTAAAACAACTCAAAGATAAACTTAATTTCAGGGCCTTCAGCAAAACAACTAAAGAAACAGGATTATAAGAGTTAAAATCATTCAGGCTGGAGAGATAGCTCAGCACTTCTAGTACCCACATGGAGACTCACACCATGTGTAACTCCAGTTCTAGGAGACCCAACCTCCTCTTATGGCCTGCACATGGATCATGCAAGTACATGGTATATATACATGCAAGCAAAACACTCATATACATAAAAATAGTATTTTAACAAGATAGACTCTTGTCAGCACTCTCAAGATCATAGAAAGTCAAAGAGAGAAAGCATCTTAATAAATTATAAGAAAGACAAAACCATAGAACTCTTAAGAGGAAAATAAAGGAGAAAGGGTTTGTTAGTTTGACTTAGCAATTCTTTTCAATATGAAACCAGAAGTACACCAGGAGAGTAAACATGTACAGTACAGAATGTATCAAAACTGCATAGACCATGACCAGAGCCAGAAAGTAACCCAAAGTGGGAGGAATTATTGGGAATTCTCAGATGAAGTATTATATATGTCTTCAACTGAACAACACAGAAATAAACAACCTTATTTTAAAAAATGGGCCAAAGATTTGGACATACTGTTTTTTCAAAGATACAGAAACAAAGAAATGCAGAAAAGTTGTCCCTCTCTATCAGCCAGGGAGACCCACCTTGTACTCACTTGGACAGCAGCTATGCAAAAAAAACAAAAAAACAAAAAACCAAAACAACAACAACCAAAAAAAAACCTGGCTGAAACAGGAAGTACAGTGGTAGAGTGCATGCCAACTTGAGTCTGATCCCTACCACAAGAAACTGAGCAAAACAAACAAATAACAAAATCCCAACAGCAGAAGTTAGCAGGCCATCAGTGAGGATCTGGACAGTTTGTTCCCTGGTCCACATTGCTGGTGAGAATGCAGAACAATGCAGCAGGACAGTGGACAACAGTATGGTGTCTCAGGAAGTAAAAGAACTTTGAGTCCCACCAAGTTCTATTCACATACCCAAATGAATGATCTGGTGTCACAGTAAGAAACACAAAAGGACATATGGACTAAGAACCCACCTCCCTGAATGATGCACTCAGGATGGTTAAGATCAGAAACATAGCATGCACTATGGTGGCTGCCAGTGTTGGAGCTGAGGAAGGGATCAGCTTTTTATACAGTTTCAGTTTAGCTGGGTGGTGGCACATGCCTTGCCAGAACTAGGGAGGCAGAGGCAGTGGATCTCTCTGAGTTTGAAGCCAGCCTAGTCTACAGAGTGAGTTCAAGACAGCCAGGGCTGTTATACAGACAAAACTCTGTATAACAAATAAACAAACAAAACAAAAAGTTTCGATTTTGCAAGATAAAAAATTCTTTTTGCAATAATGTGAATGTACTCAATACTACTAAAATGTGAACTTAAGTAGGCAAACTGGGCAGGTTCGCACCTAGGTGCTGGGGCAGAATGACTGCTGAGTTCCAAGCTATGTTGCAATACAGAATAAGAGCTTGCCTCAAAAACAACAGTAGCAACAAATAGCTCCAACAGTAAACTTCCATCCAGTGAAGTCACTTGTCCCCAAGGTTGACCCCAGATCCCAAGAGTGGAAGAAGGGCAGAACTTCTTCCCACCAGTCCTCTGACCTCACATACACTAGCATCCATACACGGACAGAGAGAAAATAAGAAACAATTGTTTTTAAAAAGTGAAGCAAACCCCTTAGTGTGCTAAGTATATAGGATAAGTTCTCAATATGTTTTCTCTGAGAAACCTACTAGAGGATGAGTGTGAGTGTCATCCACTGAAGAGCTGAAGGAGTGCTAGGCAAGAGGGTGTCTGGGTAGTTTTCAGTTGTCTGGTCAGATCAATCAGTTGAGACACTCAAGGTGGGACCCAGGAATAGGTATGCTAAATTTCCCTAATGATTCTACAGCATATTCAAGGCCCAGGCACACTTCTCCTTTTCTCTCCAGACTTCAATTTACTGCTGCTCCTATTTAACTACATCCTGACTGGCACTATACAGTATCTGCTGTTGTCTGTTCCCACTGCCCAACACTTCCCAGCAACACAGACGGATCTATTACTCCAGCAATACATGTCTACAAACAGGAGATAATAGGCTGGTCAGAAAAGACACTGTGAGGTGGGGTCAC